GGATGGGAATTCAAGTGTGATAAACATGGTGGCCAGGAGAAGAATCGCTGGCATGTATACGCCAAAGTCCTGTAGAGTCAGTGAAGAGAAGCTTCAACAGAAAGCCTAGGTTGCAGCTTTCATTCCTTGTTCTTTCTTGGACCACATTCTTACCTGTAAAAAGCTGAATATAGACACAAGCTAAATAAGCAATAACTGGGAAGCTAGAATTAAAGCAGTAGACACCGAAACAACCTTACTGAATTATACACGTCTTCATTTAGACGGCACATTATTGATCCCCAATCCTTACCATCCTCCTCAATGCCTGCACTAGGTGGATGTTGGTTGAATAGATCAATGAGCTGGCTGATAACAGTGAACTGCTGACACACTTAGTGAGTTCTAAGTGATGGGTGAAATAAAGGTGAAAGATGTTGCAGATTGTGTGTGTGTGTGTGTGTGTGTGTGTGTGTACTGGGGTTTGAACTCGGGGCCTACACCTTGAGCCACTCCACCAGCCCTTTTTTATGTTGGGTATTTTTGATAGGGTCTCATGAACTGTTTGCCTGGGCTGGCTTCTAACTGCAATCCTTCTGATCTCTGCCTCCTGAGTAGCTAGGATTACAGGTGTGAGCCACCAGCGCCTGGCAAAGATGTTGCAGATATAAAGGAGAAAGCTATTGCAGACTGACTAAGTTATATACTGGGCTGGGGGGCCCAAAGCAGGTAGCAAGAAGGACTGCACAGGAAGAAACAGGGTCTATAGTTTAGAGCAAAAAGCTCTTGCAAATTCCTAATGGGACTGCATCAAATAAAAGATCGGCACACCAAAGGAAACAATTAACAGAGTGAAGAGACAACCCACAGAATGAGAGAAAATCTTTGCCAGCTATTCATCTGACAGAGGACTAATTTCCACAACACATACATAAAGAACTCAAAAACTAAGCACCAAAGAACAAGTAACACAGTCAACAAATGGGCAAGTGAATTGAACAGATAGTTCCCAAATGAAGAAGTACAAATAGCCAATAAACACATGGAAAAATGCTTAACAACCTTAGCCAAAAAGGAAATACAAATCAAAACTACACTGAGATTCCATCTTGCCCCAGTGAGCACAGCTTTCATCAAGGAAATAGCTTGGACTGGAGGAGTGGCTCAAGTGCTATGAGCACCTACCTTGCAAGTGTGAAGCAGTGAGTTCAAACCCCAGTCCCACCAAAACCAAACAAACAAAAAGGAAACAATGATTTGTTGGTGAGGTGGGAGGGGGCTCACACACTATTGGTGGGAATTGAAATTAGTGCAGCCACTATGGAAATCAGTATGAAGGGTCCTGAAAAACCAAATTTATATACAATGGAATTTTACTCAGCCACAAAGAAAAATGAAATTTTGTCATTCGTAGGTAAATGGACGGAACTTAAGAACACCATCTTAAGCAAAATTATCCAGGCTCAGAAGGTCAAAAGCCACATGTTCTCTCTCATTTGTGGAATATAGACCTAACACAAATGTAGCAATATTATAAAACACTGGTCACACTGAGGGGAGGTCACGCACAGGAGGGGTAGGTGGGTAATGAAGAACTTGAATAGGGTTGATATACTCACTGTACAAGAATGAATACAGAAATCTTTAACTGACTGAAACTACCATAAGCAAGAGACTAAGGTAGAATGAAGAGAATTAGAGGAGATAAACCAGTTGGGGTTATAACACATATATACATGGAAATGTCACAAGGAAACTCCCTGTATAGCTGCCTTTATCCCAAGCTAAGTCATGTTTTTCATTTTGTCTTTTCTCTTTTTTCTTCTACAAAATCAGGGAACAGGAAGACAGAACAAGTCCTGGCCAGGGAGGAGGGCTGGCGCCATGGGAGGGAGAGGTGTTAGGGAAAGGGGGGAGGAGGGTGAGTATGGTACAATAAAATGTATACACATGTATGTAAATGCAAAATGTACCAGTTGAAACTACTCTAGGAATCAGGAGGGAGGATGAAGGAGAATGGTAGCGGAGGTGACTTTATGTATGGTATTTTTGATACATTGGAAGAACCTGTGTTATGTCACAATGTACCCCCACCCACCACAACAATAAACAGGAAAACAAAACCTAAAAATGTAACTGCCATATGATCCTGCTATATCACTCTTGTGTATATACACGAAGGAATATAAGTCAGTAGAGATACTTGTATACTCATATTCACTGTGGCACTATTCACAACAGCCAAGTTATGGAATCAGCTTAGGTGCATTTATCAAAAGATAAATGGATAAAGAAATTATGGAATATATACATAATAGAGTATTATTCAGTCATAAAGAAGGAAACGATGTCATTTTCAGGAAAATGGAACTGGAGATCATCATGTTAAGTGAACTAAACTAAATTTAAAAAGACAAATACCTCATGCAGAATCTAGACCTAAAAATACAAAAAAAACAGGAATGTGAAAGAGGATGGGGGTTGCCCAGCAGGAGCACGGAGGGGAACACACAAGTTGGAGGGGATAAGATCCATTGTATATTATGAAACCCATTATTTTGTACAAAAAAATGTTTTGAGAAAAGCACAAACAGGAGAGAGAAAAGAATGAAGAGGTTTTAAGAATCAGCAGTTTGTGTCTGCATTGGTTTCACTGGCCAGGGGAGCGTGGCCTGCTCTGCAAGACCATGTTTGATTGACAGGCTCATCAGTGCCAGCTCCCAGCAACCTAAGAAATGACATTTTCAAACTTTTTTGGATCGGTACCTAAATGCTTGTGATTTTCATGTCTTTGTGGCTGGCTGGCCATTTTCTCAACACCAATCAAGGAATGTTTCCGATGCCATTTGTATCTGGGAGCTTTGACGTCAGCTTCCTGTGGGTTTTGGTGGTTTTGCTGTGTTTTAAGGCACAGGTGGGGAGTGTTCGCACTATGTTGTCCTGGCTGACCTTAAGCTCCTGGGCTCAAGTGATCCTCCTCCCTCAGCCTCCCCTGCAGCTGGGACCACAGGCATGCACCACACCCAATCCCTTGTGTTGATTTTTAACTTAAAATTGTAACTCCAATAGCAACAATTTTGTTATTCCAAATAATCACACTGCACACACATACACCCCCAAATCCTTCTGTGCACATGTTTAAGACAACCTTAAACACAGGTATCTCCTTGTATCAAATGATGGAGTGGAATGGTCCTCAAAAGAGTTAACTCCAGAGCTCTAACTGGAGTTCACTTCTAATATTCACCTGCCATTGATTCCATGAGTTTCCTTGTCCCATTTGTACCTCATAAACTCCTTTCTCAAATATTAAATGATTTCATCTTAAGACTTCCTTTATGCTTAACTTCTAGCAAGAGTCCTCAGAACCAGCTTAACCCCTGTGAGATAATTCAGTCACAGATCTCCATTAACACGGTTTAGTCTGGAAAATTGTTTAAATCTTTGGGTCTCTTCAATGTTAAACAATTATTTTAACCTTGTTTTGTAACCACTGAGATCTAATTATTTTTCAAGGATACTTGAGTTAACAAAATGCAGCAGTGGGTTGTGCCTTTTAGGAGCTGAAGAGACCACTTGTTACATTCCTGAAAAAGAAGATATAGTCCAGTATTTTAAGTCATGGCAACAGTTGATAAGAAAAACAGCAAAAAGGTAATTGTTTCCATATGGAAAGGATTGAAGAAACCAGTGAAGTTGCAAACTGTCCTTTTTCCATATAAAATAGAAGTTCCTACTAGTAGACTTGTTAGGAAGGACATGTTCCTATCTCTCCCCCACTGTACAATAGTTAATACATTCCATGCAGTGGGTTTTAATGAAATATACCATCCCCTCAAACTTAGCTGCCAATTTTCATGTGCATTTTGTTCTCCTGAGTGAAACCCACATCTCTGCATGTTAATTTCATCAAATACTGTTTTGCCTTGGTGATAATCTTCTCAAGTTTAGTGAAAAGTTTGGGTGACTGCTCTTACCCCTTTTTCTACAAAGCATATAACCATTCTTTTTTTAATGCCACCTAAATACCTATAGGTAATTTAAAAGCAATAATTGAATAAAATCAGTTTCTGGTCTAGCATTCTAAGATCCAAAACAAAATCTGACCCAAGTTTCTCATGCCCAGAAAGTTTAATGAAAGTACACATTTGCATGTTTACTTTTGTATTTAAGCATGATAAGCATTTACTATCAAAACTCTGACATTTATATATCCCCAACCCTGCCTTTTCTTTTTTTTTTTTTTTTTATCGCCATCATCTCGTTATGTTCCCAGGATGATGTCAAACTCGTGGGCTCAAGTGATCCTCCTACCTCTAGCCTCCCAAGTATACAGGACACAGCTGCACCTACCCTGATGCTTTTTTTTTGGCAGTGCTGGGGGTTTATCTCAGGGCTATGCAGGTACTCTACCACTTGAGCCACTCTGCCAGTCTCTGATGTTTAAATAGCTACTTAGAATAGAAAATCTTACCATTAGAGAACCTTCAGAATAGACGCTCACACTGTAGCATTTGACAACAGCTCCCTCTAATGGTTGAGAGCGCTCATTTCAAGGACCAAGTACAGAACTGCACATTCATAGTGTGCAACTATGCTGTGTGAAAGCTGAGTTCATGTTGAGTCAATCTTTTTTGGAGTACAAAAGGAAGAATTAGGAACATATGGACGAACAGAACATTCCCTTTTATTGGCTACTTCCAGAGTTCCAACATCTTAGCAAAATGTTTCCAAATTTCTTTGAAGCTGGAAGTGAAATGTACCAGCTACTGGGAGGCTAGGTGGAGGACTGCTGGAGCCCAGGAGTTTGAGAAGAGCATAGTGACAACCTGTCTCAATGAAACAAAACAGAACAAAGTTCTTTACAGAAGCACTGTTTTTTCCTTACATATGAAATAAGTAGATGTTTTCATTGAAAATATGCAATTCTCCATTTGAAGTTTTCTTCATTTCTGTGGGTACAGTTCACAGAATGGACTCAGCATTCTACTTTGTTACTTTAACAGATGGAATGTTAAAAAAAATGCCTCAGTATTTTTCACTTTTGCTGTAGATCAGAGATTACTGTAACTGGCAACAACCTGTTCTAACAATGTAAAACTGTCCAAAAAGTCCTCTTCTTCAATTCCAAATTTTGTGTACTGATGAATGTAGGCCCTAGTGAAGAAAAAAAAAAAAAAAAAAACAAAATGTAAAACAGACAATTTCAGGTGAATGAGTGATTTAAAATTAAATTTCAAATAGCCCTTTCTAACTCAAACACAGAATCCCAGAAGTCATATTTACTTGACTGTATGCTCCAAAAATTAGTGAATTTTCAGTTTATGTCAAGCTCCCCATCCTTTTAATGTCAAGAGAATGTCAGGAGGAGGCACACAGGAAAAAGAGGCATGTTCAGAGTTGGTTGTCCACCCAGCATCCAGTCAGTGCTTTACAGATGATTGGGTTTAGTATAGACTGTAAAGACTGCCTGAGGTTTCATCGAAGGCTTGAAACTAGAAACACAACCCAGTTCTAGGAATGTAGCGAGGCCTTTCAAATGCTTTTCAGACAACATTTAATTTACAGTTATGCTGGGGTGGTCCTCTCAATCCCTCCCTCACCTAATATTCTGAGACAGGAGAAATCATGTCCAAAAGAGACAATCAAGGGCAAACATGAATCAAATTGTCATAATAATAGCTGCTTCCACTTAGTGAGAACACCAAGGAATAACAGCAGGACAGGACAGACAGTTCATAATCAGAAAGAGGGGATGGGTACAGAAGGGCCATTGCAGAATGACTGGGTCCATGGGAATCCCAGCTGATCAAGGCAGAAACCTCGTTCAACACTTGAGGAACTGTACTTTGGCAGTAAGCAAGTGTCAATTGGTAGAGCTCAAGAAACCTGCTAAAACATTTCCTAGCACCAGGCAGAGTGCTCACCACGTACGTTACTGAGGAAGATCACAACCGCTTCTGCTCTCTCAAGGATCTTACTTTTGAAACTATTTTTTTGGCAGGGAGGGAGAGCCTGGAGTTTGAACTTATGCTTCATACTTGCAAAGTAGGCCCTCTACTTCCTGAGTCACACCTTTAGTTCATTTTCCTCTGTTTACTTTGGAGATGGAGTCTTGTGAACTATCTGCCCAGACTGGCCTCAAACCCCGATCTTCCCAATCTCAGCCTCCCAAGTAGCTAGGATTACAGGTATAAGCCACTGGCACCCAGCTTAGAAACTATCTTATTGTCCCTGCCTTATAATGAAATTTCTACTTTAAATTGGTTTAGACCCTACTTCTTTAGTCAACAACAGCATCCATATAAAAATAGTGTAGAACAAGTGTTGAACACTCACTAGGCAGGCAGCACACGAGGTGTTTTACATGATTACCTCCCTTAATCCTTGCCACACAGTTTCTCTTTTAAGGGACACTGTACAGACAAGAAAATGAAGCCTGAAGTCACAGGTCCAAAGCTTCAAGCTTCACATTCACAAATGGTGGTCACGGTTACCCCACCAACCTCTTGCTCGGCAGCCGTATCATCTGCTGAGGCTAGGGAGCTCTGGAGACTTGATTTTACTCACTTTGAAGCAAACATACTCCATGCTTTTCCCACAATCACGTCAAGTGGTTTCACTGGGAACTGGCTGTTGCTAACCAACGCTGCTGATTTCTCGTATCTGTTGAAAGCTCGCTGGGTTTTCCATACGCTGAAAGCATGAGCCGGGTGTAACCAGGAAGTGTAGAGAGCCGGGTCTTTAAATCCCTCTGAAGTAAAAACAAACTTGTATGAAAATGATGTAAAGAAACCCATTATTTTGTACAATTAATATACATGAATAAAAAAAGAAAAACATGGACATGTACAATTCTTTGTTTTTATTAGTTTACAGTTTAGGGTTTTTTGGCTTTTAAGACAGGGTCTCAATAAGTAGCTCAGCCTGGCCCTTGAGCCACTCCACCAGCCCTTTTTTGTGATGGTTTTTTTGAGATAGGGTCTCGAACTATTTGCCCGGGCTGGCTTCGAACAGTGATCTTCCTGATCTCTGCCTCCTCAGTAGCCAGGATTCAGGTGTGAGCCACCAGCGCCTGGCTACTATTGCTCTTTCAACTTCCTGAAAAGTTTGCCAAAAAAAAAAAAAAATGCTTGGCACAGAGACCACAAGTCAGCCAATGATTGCTGTTTTCCTTTCTTCCTTAGTAACAGGACCCCCAGCTTTTTGTCCAGTTCTAGGGGATCAATCCCAGGGCCTTGCACATGCTAGCCAAAAACTCTACCTCTGAGCTGTACCCCCAGCTTCACCACCCCCAAAATTTCAACTGTGCTCATAGCCCCCATTGCAGCTATGTATGGTACATGACTCTGTCTAGACAAGAGGACAGAAATGCAAGCATAAGGGCTGGAGGCATGCCCAAGCAGTAGAGTGCTTGACGTGCAAGTGCAAGGCCCTGAGTTCAAACTCCAGTAATGCCAAAAAACAACAACAAAAATGCAAGTGTGATGTGCAAGTTTCAGAGTGTGGGGGGAATGTCCTTCTTTGCTCAATCCTATGTGATTTGTTTGGTTGTTTTTGTTTTTTTGAGGCAGAGTCTTGTTATGTAGCCCAGGATCATCTTGAACTTCCAGTCCTCCTGCCTCCTTCTCTCATGTGTTAGGATTATAGGTGTGCAACACTACGCCCAGCTTCTGATGTGATTTAATAGCTAAAGCTCAAGCAGATATCTTGGACTGTAAGAAGGAAAACACAAGGTAAGGATAACAGAACTATTCAGATATTCAGATAATCCTTTGTCTTGATTAAACCACTTCAGTTTTTGTGTCCAGTCACTTACCAATTGATATGATGGTTATGTTTTGCCACTAAAACCCATAGTTATTACTTTTCTTTCTCTAAGAATACAGGGATTTTTGGTGGGCATAGTAGCACACACCTGTAATCCCAACACTCAGGAGCCAGAGGCAGGAGGATTTCAAGTTCCAGACCAGCCTGGACTATATCTTGAGACCCTGTCTCAAAAACAAACAAACAAAATAGAATACAGGGATTTTTTTAAAAACCACATACATGGTCCAAAATGTGCAACTTAATTTTCACCTTAAATTCTGCTTACCTATATCTGCACTTTGCACATCTTTCCCACGAAGGATGACCAAGTTAGCAATGGAAGTGTTAAAATGCAGTTCCTTGTTTAAAGACATTTTGCCAAGAGGTGGAAGTCCTGATATAGGAGGCCGCACTTGCCAGTCAATACCTACCACAAGAAAAAAGCAAGAGATTTTAGAAATGGCATTGCACAAAATGAGAAAATGTCTTGTATATTTTACATAAATATTTGCTATGCAAAAGTTGGTAGTTTCCTCTAAAATTCCTTTGTTTTTTTAATTTTCGTGCAGTACTGGGGATCAAACCCAAGACCTCCCCGGCTTGTACTAGGCAAACATTCCACCACTAAGCTATACCCCCAGCTCTAAGAGTTTAAAATTCTTAATTGGGCCGGGCACTGGTGGCTCACGCCTGTAATCCTAGCTACTCAGGAGGCAGAGATCAGGAGGATTGTGGTTCAAAGCCAGCCCAGCCAAATAGTTCATAAGACCCTATCTCGAAAAACCCTTCACAAAAAAGGGCTGGTGGAGCGGCTCAAGGTGAAGGCCCTGAGTTCAAACCCCTGTACCACAAAAATAAATAAATAAAATTCATAATTGGTTAAGCTAACATGATTCAAACTACTCAGTCCTGAAAAAGGCATGAATTTATCTTTAGTATCAAAGAATGGTGGTAGGTATATAAGATGGAATTCTACTTAAGTGAGTAATAAAAACAAACTATTGATAAATGCAACAACACTGATAAAGCTCAAAGGCTTTCTGCTAAGTGAAACAAGCTACAGTCAAAAGATTCCATGTTTCATAACTCCATGTTATAAATGGACATTCTGAAAAAGGCAAAACTAGAGGAACAAAACTCAGATTAGTAGTTGCAAGGAGATGAGGGCACGAGGGAACATTCTGGGATGGTGGGATTACTCTACATCTTTGTGGTGGTTCCACATTGTATATGTTTGTCAAAAGTCACGCAACTAAAATCATACATACCTTTGCGAATGATAAACAAGATACATGTAAAAGTATTGAGGGACATAGAAGCTAGGCGTGGTGGCTCACATTTGTAATCCCAGTATCTGGGAAGCCGAAGCAGGAAGATCTTGAGTTCAAGGCCATCCCTGGCTACACAGCGAGACCTTGTCTCCAAAGGAGGGCTGATGGCATGACTCAAGTGTTAGAGTGCCTGCCTAGCAAGCATGAGTCCCTGAGTTCAAACCCCAATACCATAAAAAAAAAAGAAAGTGAGAAAGCAAGGAAGAAAGACAGGCAGAAGGAGAGGAGAAAGAAAGGATATGGAGACTGAGGATGTAGCACAGTGGTAGAACAACTTGCCTAGTTTGTGTGAGGTCTTGGGTTCAATCCCTAGCACCATTAAAAAAAAAACTATTAAATTTAAAGAAACAAATAAGCAAAAATAAAGATAAACCAAGATGGATTAAGTTTGTTGTTGTTTGAGACAGGATCTCATTATGTAGCCCAGACTGGCTTCAAGCTCTTAGACTTCTGGCCTCTTTCCCAAGTGCTGGGACAGATGTGTGCCACCAGATGAGTTGATATTTAAACATTAAACATAAAACTATCAAAAAAATTAGAGAACATCTTTATTTCTTTGGGCTGGTAATGCTCAAACTCTATAAAGGAAGATTTATAGTTCTGCCCATATAAAAATATGAAACTCCCAAATAGTAAAAGATAGTATACCAAAGACAAAAATAATAAAAATATTTGCAATCATGTAACAAAAGGGTGATATATACAAAACATTGTATTTCCTCTACTCTAAGACACCACTATGAGAATAAAAATGATTAAAATTATGTCGCAAATTTACTTACTGCTTTTTTTTTTCCGTGTGGTGTTGAGGATCAAACTCAGGGTCTCTCATAGGCTAGGCCTCTCCCAACTGAGCTACAGCTCCAGCCCTTAGATTTTTAATTTTTGTTTTTGTTTTTCTTGAGGCACGTCTACCTAGGTAGCCTAGGCTTGCCTCAGTTCAAGATCTTCCTGCCTCTACCTCCAGAATGTTGGGATTACCGGTGTGCACCACCATGCCTGGCCTGGTTTTTTAAAATCATTTGTCAATCTTTAGCATGTAGTATAAGAAAAGTATAAAAAAATTAAACTGGTTAAGGTTTTCCTAAAATGTCTTCTAGTTTGGTAACTATTACTTTCTGACTCAGCATTAATGCCTGTGTTTTCTCACACATAACTGTCCTCCTTGTGTCCAGAACACTGATGATGCAACAGTCCTTAAGGGAATTCCTGAAAAAACTAAAAGCCCCTGACATTTCAACTGGCTTTGCAATCATGTCGAGCACATCTGTGTTCGCCAACTCTTGGAGGAATGTCGCCGAACTTGTCTGTACACCATGATAACTGCCTCTTCCCCACCCCAACAGAAAGCTAAAGGTTTATTTTCTGCAGATATGGTCGATGAAGGGTCTTGGGTCAGAGAAACTACTAGGCAAGGTTGAAGGCAGGGTACTGTACTGAAACCAGACAGATCATGCAAAAACCATGACCTCCTGCTCTTAAGACCCCCACACAATTGGGGCTATGTTTAAATCTACCAAGCTGAACACAGGAAACAAGCAAAGGGAATGTCCAGGATCACAAATGTACACTCTTGCTAAACAGGGCAAAAAAGCTTAGACTGCAGTAGGTCAGAAGCAAGCGCCAGTGGCTCATGCCTGTAATCCCAGCTACTCAGGAGGCAGAGATCAGGAGGATCACAGTTAGAAGCCAGCCTGGGCAAACAGTTCCATGAGACCCTATCTCAAAAATACCCATCACAAAAAAGGGGCTGGTGGAGTGACTTGAGGTGTAGGCCCCAGTACTGCAAAAAAAAGAAAGCACTGGGAGAAATTTTTTCCCTTGAGATGAAGTCTCACTCTGCTGCTCAGGCTGGTCTTGAACTCATAGACTCAAGTGATCCTGCTGCCCCAGCTTCACAAGAAGCTGGGGTTACAAGTGTGAACTACCACACCCAGCTGAGAGATTTCTTTTTTTTTTTTTTCTTTCTTTTTGGCAGTTCTGGGATTTGAACTCAGGGATTCATGCTTGCTTTGAAGACACTCTACTACTTGAACCACAACTTAGCACTTTTGGCTTTTAGTTATTTTTTTCAGGTAGGGTCTCACACTTTGGCCCGGGGTTGGCCTCAGAATGCAGTCTTCCTGTGTCCCCATAGGCACATACCACCACACCCTGCTTATTGTGCCTGGCCTTGCTGAGAGATTTCTTTCAAAGAAAATGAAACTGATAGCATGCCTGAATATACCGAGAAAATTCAGACAACTAGAGAAAGACTTAGGGTTGAATAGCTAACAGATAAAAGAAAAGCTAAGCAAATAAGGCAACTGTAAAGAACAATTTTAAAATTACATGGAGTGTGGGGGCGGAGGGGGAGAGGTGGCCCAAACAATGTATACACATAGGAATAAATGTAAAAATAATAAAATAAAAAAGTAAATAAATAAATAAATAAAAATTACACGGGAAAGGAAAAGTTTCACAGTATACTATGTGGGTCGGCTATGAATAGCATTTACTTGGTCATGATAACATAAAGCTGTATATTGTCTTAACCAAATGATAACATGACTGTATTGGAAGGATGTGGAACAGATGGTGTTTATAAGACTGACGGGTCAGTGCGGAGAAAAAGCTAAATCCTGACCTTCCATAATTGGAAATAAAAAGATAACATCTAAATAGCTGAAAATATCAGTAAATGGTAATGAGTGGGTGGATGAAAAATGGTTGCTACTTGAGGTTGAGGGTGTAGGTTGGCGGAAGGCTGCATGCTTAGCATGTATAAGGCCCAGGGTTCAATCCCCAACACCAAAAATAAAAAATAAAAAAGAGGATAAAATAGGAGGTTGTGGACTGGTAGTTTTTACAAGCAGCCTTGTAGAATTATCACACTGTTTAATCTATATGCATACAATAAGTGTGTGTGTGTGTGTGTGTGTGTGTGTGCATGCGTGTATGTGTGCTACCAAGAATGGAGCAGGGCTGGGGATGTGGCTCAGTGGCTGAGCACTTGCCTAGCGTGCGCCAGGTCTGGGGTTCAATTCCCAGCTCTGGAAAAAAATAAAAAAGAAGAAGAAAAACAAAGCATGTCTAGATATACTGAATTGGAAAAAGGGCCACAAAATACTGTTATGTTGAAAAGAGACGTAGAATAATAAGTATAACGCAATGCTTGTTTTGGCTTTTTTGTGTACGTGCGACTTGAACTCAGGGCCTACACCTTGAGCCACTCCACCAGCCCTTTTTTGTGTTAGGTTTTTTCGAGATAGGGTCTCTTGGAACTATTTCCCTGGGCTGGTTTGAACCACGATCCTCCTGATCTCTGCCTCCTGAGTAGCGTGAGCCACTGGCGCCCAGCTGCTTTTGGCTTTTTAACATATTTTGGTGCTGGGATTGAACCCAGGGCCTCCACTCATGCTAAGCCCACACTCTACTACTGACTTAGACCTCCAGTGCTAATGCTAATTTTTTTGTTTGTTTGTTTTTTGGCAGTACTGGGGTTGAACTCAGGGCCTCACACTTGCTGGGGAAGCACTTTACCACTGAGCCACTCCTCCAGCCCTTACCCCCCACCCCCTTTTTTTTTTTTTTTTTTTTGCTTTAGCTATTTTTTTGATAGGGCCACATATTTTTGCCTACATAGCTTGGATTACAGGCATGAACCACCATAGTTGAAGCCCTGCTTGTTTGATTTTTTTTTTTTTTTTTGAAGTGCTACCTTATCTTCAAGGCTGGGCTTGAACTTGCAACTCTCCTGCTTCACCCTCTCAAGCACTGAGATTACAGGCATGTGCCACCACATACAGCTTCAAAGTCAGGAAATAAGACATTGCAACTTCTGCCTATTCCCTCTTGGAGCACTCCTTCCCCCTGTTGCTAGGACAAGTGGGAACAGATCCATTGTGATAGTGATAAAAATGGGGCAAGTCTTTATACAGAACAGTCTGATAACACATGAATAGCTATAAAACTAGACCTTGGTTTGTGCCATACATATAGTTCTTAACATACATATATCCACATACTCAAAAAATGAAAACATTCAGGGGTAATGCTCTTCTTAGTATGTGTGAGGCCTTGAGTTCAATCCCCAGTACCACAAAAACCAAAAACCAAACAAAGAAAAAAGCCATTTATATGTTCAAACTCTATCCATAACTAACTGAAAAAAAAAAACCAAAAAAAAATTAACACCCTAAAGTCCCACATGGGAAAATGACTAAGCAAATTGTGGTTTATTGATCTAAGAGAGTTCAGGGCAGTACGCCTCACACTACCGTAGGGAACATTATGTTCCATGAGATATTAACAGGTATTGCTAGAAAAACAAGTACTGTAGCCAAAAAACTCCAGGAAGTCCAGTTTTAAGATGTGAACTTTCTACTATCTTCAAACCTCTGGCACTATAGTCCAAAATCCTTAAGCAATTACATGCAGATGGAGAAGACCCACTTTCATATTATTGACCCTCTTATATTACTTTGTGCTTCAATATAGCCTATTAACATAATACATAGTGCTTTCTAGTTAAATATGACAGACAAAATCAGACAAAATGTACTTTTGCTCTACATTTCCCACTAAGACAATAAAGGGATTGAGCTCAGGGCCTTCACTTTGAGCCACTCCACCAGCCCCTTTTGTGATGGTGTTTTTGAGATAGGGTCTCAAGAACCATTTGCCCAGGCTGGCTTTGAACTGTGATTCTCCTGATCTCTGCCTCCTGAGTAGCTAGGATTACAGGCGTGAGCCACCAGTGCCCAGCAAGGGAATTTCTTAAAAGGCATAAAAAAATAAACAAAAAAGCAACAAGAATGAAGAAAGCATCAACAACATTTTGGAAATAAGAAAGCAAACGAGCCATTGGTTACTAACTGAGCAACCAGGACAGTTGAAACTTATGCCTACCCACCGTGGAGGTCCTGTAAACAGGCCAGGCATTTCTAAAAGCAGAAAACAGGATGAGTTAAAATTCTGTATGAGAAGCAGGGAGAGCCCCAGACCCTTGCCTGCTCCTTGAAGCAGGGGAGCCGTCCTCCTTTACCCTAGAAGGTTTCTGCTCTGAAAACGCAACATGGGTGAGGCTCCAGCCTCAGGGACCCCAAGCACAGCCACGCTGAAAGCCTTATGCCAAACTGGTCACTACGTGGAAGCGCGTCCCATCCAGTCAGGCACTGTGGTCTGAACCCAGGGCCTTGTACATACTAAGCAAATGCTCTACAACTGAGCTACAGTTGCAACCACTCCGGTGTTAATCTAGTTCCTGCTTTGTTCTCGCTAGAAGCCTTAAGATTTTCTCTTTGTCCCTAAAATTCTCAAATTCCTTGGTACGGGTCTTTCGTCCACCTCAGTAGAATGTAGGGCTTCTGTGAGAGCAGACCTTCTTTTTTTTTTTTTGTGGCAGCATTGGTGTTTGAACTCAGGCACATGTGCTAGGCAGGCGCTCTACCACTTGAGCCACTTTACCCTTTTTTGCAGTATCTTTTTCCGAGAGAACTATTTGCCCAGGACTGGCTTAGAACCTCAATCCTCCTGATCTCTGCATCCTGAGTAGCTAGGCATGAGCCACTGGGGTCTGGCAAGGGCAGACATTTTTAGTTTTACTGCTGTGCCTTTGGAGTCTGGAACAGTAACCCAGCAAACAGGAATCTCTCAATAATTACTTGTTAAATGAGTTACTCTCAGCACTGAATGGACTTGCAGACATGTGTGGGTTTTACATATGTCCGGCTTTTTTGTTTATTTTTTTTGGTGGGACTTGGGTTTGAACTCAGGGCTTCACACTTACAAAGCAGGCACACTATCTCTTGAGCCACACCTCCAGTCCATTTTGCTCTGATTATTTTGGAGATGGGGGTCTCGTGAACTATTTGCCCAGGCTGGCCTCGAACTGAAATCCTCCCGATCTCAACCTACCAAGTAACTAGGATTACAGGTGTGAGCCACTGGTGGCTGGCATGTATGTGGCTTTTGAACTGCCTGGCCATTTTACCGTCAGGCTCCCAATTCTCATACTTGGCATATTTTAAAGCTACCCTCTTTTGCACAGTGGTAGTGTCTTCTGATGCAGTTGAGCAGATTTCACCACACAGATTCTTGGCTGCACTTTGTAGTCTTGTCCATACTGTGCCTCTTCATGGTGTGCAAACAGTGAATCCAAATCCCTTCGGCCATATTCACTGTGCAACACAGACTAAGTTGTTTAAACTCTCAGACACTTTTTTCTCCCTGGTAAAGTGAAGGCTATGTGAAATTAAGAAATATAAAGTATTCTCATAGTAAGCAGTCTGCTAGTTCATGGCAAGGCAACTTGTCAGTGTTACTCACTGCCAAGGAGCCAATCATTCAAGTTCTGTCTCCAGCACAACATTTAAAAAAACAAAAAAGAATGGCTGGGTGCTGGTGGCTTATTCCTGTAATCCTACCAACTTGGGAGTCTGAGATTGGGAGGACTGAGGTTCAAGGCCAGCCCAGGCAAATAATTCATGAGACTCCATCTCCAAAACAGCCAGACAAAAATGGATAGAGCCCTCAGAGCCCCAAACTTTTACCTTCCTTTGGCTGGGAGCATGGCTTAAGTGGTAGAACACCTGCCTAGCAAGTGTGAGGCCCTGAGTTCAAATCCCAATACAGCCACAAAAAAGAAAAATGGATGATTTGAAATCCAAGAAACCACTGCTGACCACTTATCAAGTCTGGAGCAATCAATCCAGCTTAGAGAGGAAGATAAGGGCCTTCCAGAGACTGCTCCAAACAGATAATGAAAGTTATAGATTACCTGACCATTTGAACATGTTGAGAAGGAATTATTTTTTATGGAAAAGTTTTGGAATAGATTAGTGATAGATGCAAAGAATATCAACCAAAATAAATATTAGAAACTCTTAAGAGAAAAAAAATGAATTTTAAATGAAATAAGATGTATTCTATGTACATAGTACATGGCTTCACTGTGAACATTTACATGGTAAAAGTTACACAAACGCTAGAGACTGATCTAACCCAAAAGTACAACTCTACTGAGAGAGAGGAAGGAAGGACAAATGTGAGTGAGTGATTCAGTGTGTGTAGAGTGGGTATAAGAAGATTCAATCAGCAATTTTCACATTAGGAAGGCAATGGATATTTAAAACTGGTAAATAAGACAAAAAACAGGAGCAAGATATTTAGAAATATGGAAGCAAATCCCAGAAGAAACTGCTAAAGACAATAAAAGTAGTTTAAAAATAGTTTTACCTGGACAAGAGGGACATAGGACAGGGGCTTCTGTTCTCCTTGTTATAAATTCATACTAGACGCTTACTTCACTCTTTTTTTGTCTTGGTACTGGGAGGCCTCATGCTTGCTAGGCAGGCACTGCACCACTTGAGCCACTCCACTAGCCCTTGTGTTGGAAATTTTTGAGAAAGATTCTTGTGAACTATTTGCCTGGGCTGGCTTCGAACCATGACCCTTCTGATCTCTGCCTCCTGAGTAGCTAAGATTACAGGCGTGAGCCACCTGCACCCAGCTTACTTCAGTTTTTTAAAAAAGTTGATATATAATTTACATATAGTACAATGTATAGATGTAAGTATACACTTAATTGGGTATTTGTGTTTTTTGCTTTTTTGCAGTGTTGGGGATGGAACCCATAGCCTCATGCATGCAAAGCACACAATCTACCACTAAGCTATGAGTTTTAACGACTTGATTTTTAAAACTAAGTTTATGTATTACTTTGATTAGAAAAGAATAAAAACTTGAAAAAGCACATGGCCCTCTTCTAAAATGATTTTTGTAACAATTAAGAAGTCCTGCTGGAATGTGCTGGTGAGTCTGTGCAGGAGGCTCCTTAAGCAGAGCCAGAAACCTTTATTTCATCTGGTCAAGCCAGCCCATTCTCAGAGCTCCAGGGCTACAAATTTTTAAATACCCTTACCTTCTTCCATTTTTGCATTAGAAATGAGCATCTGTCTCAAGTGTTTGAGGAGGCCAGCCCAAGTAAACGTGCTATATGCCAGTGAATTCTCAGACATCTGAGGAATGTTTCGAACACCTAGCATCTTGAACTCAGGATGGGGAACCAAATTCTCCATTAAGTCTCCTGTAAAAAACAAAGAAGATGTGAACTAAGATTTCCTTTATTTCACACTGGTGTAGTTGGCCTAAAAACAATCATGAATTGATGGTTTTCTAGATCAAATGTGTCTCCTCTAAGGCAAGAATTGCTTAAACTTTAAAACAATAAAATTTCAGAGACTATGTCTAGTACAGACTTCACTGCTTCATTTTTGCATGGATGAAAACACACTTCACCAAAAAGGAAACAAGAGTTCAGAAGTGGGGTAACTGGAACTGGAAATGAATATTTAGCTAATCCCCAAGAAAACAAAGAAAGCAGGAGAGCTGATATACTTTTCTTGTCATTTTGTGTTCATTAAAATCTTCCTTTAGAAATTTCTCTAGATCTTTATTTCTTTATTTCATCTGGTTTAAATGATAATCAAAATCTGTTAGGGGCTAGATGGAGCTCAGTTGTAGAGCACTAAAAAAAAAAGAAAAAAAAAAAAAAGAGCCAGACAGGGTGGCACATGCCTATAGTCTCATCTGCTCCAGAGGCTGAGAAAGGAGGAATTCAAGAGCCCAGGAGTTTGAGACCAGTCTACACAACAGAGTAAGAAAATCCTCAGGAATTATTCATTGATTGTTATATGTTTACTCTAGATTTCCACTCTCGGTATTTTACAGAAAAGGATTTGTATGTTTAGAGGTAACTCCACTAGGATAAGCCCATTTTTGCAGCATTTTGTAGATGTTTGGCTAAAATCTGTTTTTTACCAGGACATAAGATATGAGTTTGTACTCACTGTAATGAAATTTATATTTATGTTATGGTAATAATTTTCTCTCTCCTCTAGGTATTTTCCATAAATATATAAAACATCTATGAATGTAAAGCTAATTAGCCTTTCTCTTTAATTCAGTAATATTGCAAATATGCATGTATGAAACCAGAATAATGAAACCTCTTAAAAATTGTTTTAAAAAGGGAAGAGGGAAGATAAGGAAGAATAATGGAGTGAATTTGATCAAAGCACATTATATGCATATGTCACAATGAAACCCCCTTTGTATACTAATCTCTCCCCCCACCCTCAGGTGTGGGGATCCAGCATGCTAAGCAAGCACTCTATCAATAAGCTACATTTCCACTTCTCCCCTTCAGCTTTCTTGGTCAACTACTCTCACCCAATTCTTTAACCTCAATGAAACCCTAACCTACTGACCTCCTGCCTTCGCAATACATCAGTGTTCCTCTTCCTGGCAAAAATCCAGCCTTGGATCAGTACCACTCCTGACGTTTTCTGTCAGAACACAACTAGAGAAAGTCAAATCACATAGCAGACTGGGATCCCATTGAATCTTCAAACATCCAACACCAACTGGGCGCTGGTGGCTCAAGCCTATGATCCTAGATACTTTGGAAGCTAAGAACAGGAGCATTGTGGTTCAAGGCCAGCCCAAGCAAATACTTCATGAAACTCCATCTCCAGCAAAACCAGAGCAAGCCAGGCACCAGTGGCTCATGCCGGTAATCCTAGCTACTCAGGAGGCAGAGATCAGGAGACTCACAGTTCAGAGCCAGCCCAGGCAAATAGTCTGCAAGACCCTATCTCAAAAATGCCCAACACAAAACATGGTTAGCAGAGTGGATCAAGTGGTAGAGCACCCACCCAGCAAGCATGAGGTCCTGAGTTCTAACTCCAGTGCCACCGAAATAAATAAATAAATAAATAACCAGAGCAAAATGGATTGGAGGTATGGTTGAAACAGTAGAGCCCCTAATTTGCAAGTGTGAAGCTCTGAGTTCAAACCCTAGTCCTACCATAAAAAAAACTAACATCAAAGCCCAATTTACATCGGAAGCTCCCACCACTTCTGTGAATTTCAGTCCCATTTATGCTTCATCTGCTTGGAGTGTGGCACAGTGGCGTAGCACTGGTCTAGATGTACAAGGCCTCGGTTATATCCTCAGTACTGCAAAAATCAAACCAAAACAAAACAGAATACTCTCCATTCAACAAACATTTTATTGAATGCTTACTATTTGCCATGCACTATTTTAGGCACTGTCAAGAGAGTGGTAAACAAACTAGACAAAATTTTTGGTTCCAGCTGGGCCTGTTGGGACACAGCTAAAACCCCAGCTACTGAGGGAGGCTGAGGTAAAAAGATCGCTTGAGCCCAGGAATTCAAGGCCAGTCTACGCAACAAAGCAAGACCTCATCTCTTAAGAGAGAAAACAAACAAAAAGTTATATTTGAAGAAGCAGGAGGCAACTAAAAATCTGGGAGTGGCTGGAGATGTAGCACAGTGATACAGTGCTTGCCTACCACACATGCACAATACTCTGGATTCAATCCCCAGCATCAACGTAAAAGAGAAAATAAAAGAAAACTGGGCCAACCAACTATTTGGGAAAGAGAATAGAAATGGTGGTAAAGATTACAGAGTCAATTGCATTTAGGTGATTTGAACTGACAAGACACCATTTAAAGAGTAAGAACTAAAAAAGAATGGAAGAAGAAAGAATGGTAAGAAGTATACTTGTAAGGTGCAGAAAAATATAAATATAGTCAGGAAGTACAAGAGAGTGTGATTAGGAAGAAGAAAAAGGAAAATGAAGCCCTAAGCTAACAGTCCAAGGAAATAAGTTCAAGAAAAGAGCAGTCAAATATAAAATGCTGCCAGATGTCCACACAAGGAGAAGTCCACTGGATTTGGAAACTAGACAGCTATAGCTGAATGAAGACACAGAAAGAAATAGAGGGAGAAAGCTGGGCACTGGTGGCTCACACCTATAATCCTAGATCCTTGGGAGGCTGAGACTGGGAGGATCTCAATTCAAGGCCAGCCCAGGTAAATAGTTTGGGAGACCCCTATCTCCAAAACCAGAACAAAATGGACTACAGGCATGGCTTAAGCAGTAGAGTACCTGCTTCACAAGTGGGAAGCTCTAAATTCAAACCCCAATCCCACCAAAAAAAAAAAAAGGAAAGGAAAAGGAGGGAGACAGAAAGTAGAGGAGGAAGACAGAAAATAGAGGCGGAAGATAGAAAGGACAAGAGGCCAGTTGCAAGGCAGTAAGAAGGGAAGACCTAGCATGTACAAGGCCCTGCGCTCAATCCCCAGCACTACAAAAAAAAAAAAAAAAAAGAAACACATCATCTAAAAAGTGAAACAAAAATTAAAAATGAAAAAAATTTTTTGCAAATCATATACTTCAAAAGAGACTTGTATCCAGAATATAGGAAGCTTGCTTAGTGGGTTCATCCCCAACACCACAAATAAGAAAAAAAACAACCAAAGGGTAATGACTCTGAATAGGCATTTCTCCAAAAAAGACACACAAATGCTCAATAAGCACATGAGAAGATGCCTGACGTCATTAGCCATGAGGGAAGTGCAGACTGAAGCACGAGCTGCATCTTCACCCTCACTAGGATGGCTACATGAAGAGGAGGATAAGAAGGTAAAGATGTGGAGGAGGTGGGATCCTTACATGCTGCTGTTGGGAATGGAAAATGGCACAGCCATTATGGGAAAGTCTGGCAGTTCCTCAAAAAGTTCAACATAGTATTACCAAATGACCCAATAATTCTACTCCTAGATATACATCCAAGAGAAATGAAGACATATAGCCACACAAAGTGTTAACAGCAGCATTATTCCTAAGAGCCAAAAATGGAGAAATAACCCATATGTCCAACAGCTGGAAAATGGATAAACAAAATATCTATTCAATAGAACGTCATTCAGCCATTAAAAAGAATGAAATACTGACACAAGATGCAACTGGATGAATTTTGAAAACATTATGCTAAGTGAAAGAAGCTAGACCCAAGACTGCACATTGCATGATTTCATTTATGTGAAACATCCGGAATAATCAAATCCACAGAGACAGAAAGGAGATTAGTAGTTGAGTAGGACTGGTGTTACTGGGAAAAAGATGGGAATATTCATGATCAACAATAGGTACAGGATTTCTTTATGGAATGCTCAGTATGATGGTAGTATAACTTGTGAATATGCTAAAAAAATAATTGAATTATACACATTAAATGTGAATTATATCAATAAAATTTTAAAAATATTTTTTAAAATTCATTTTTGTTCTTTTCTTTTTTTCTCAATAAATTTTTTTTATTTCAGTAAAGTTGCTAATAAAAAAAAGAAGGGGCTGTGGGTGTAAGTTACTGGTAGAGCACTTATCCAGCATGTGTGAGGCCTTGGGTTCAATCTCTAACATCACAAAAGAGGGAGAGAGAGGGAAAAATAGAGGGCAAGAATTCCAAGTGATGAAGTTAATGGGTAGTAACCACCACTCTTGAAAATTTACTAACTTCTTGAGACTCTTCCGTAACACAGTTCAGAGAAATAAATAGATGTGAAAAAAGGTTTTTGAGATGAGGGAGAATTGAGTGTATCTTTAGGAAGAGGGGAAGAGATGGTGAAGAATAACTTTGAGGCTTTCAGAACTCACATTAAAACTTTCCTACAAATAAGGCAGAGGGAGACAAATACCTAGTGGATTTCTTCTGTAGTGAGAAGAGCCTTCTGCAGAATAAGTAGGCTGGAACACACTTCCCAACTGATGTGCGACGACTTGATTTATATCGCTGAAGGAGACATGCTTGATATTCATCAGTTTTGCACAGATTTTATGGACAGCATCATTCTCATGAACAAGGAGTGCATCTGAAGATCGGTACAAGTGAGAAAGGGTCAAGGAGGAGTTGTAGTTCTGCACAATAACCTGGAGAGAAGAAGGTCAGAAGTAAGAACAGTAGGAGAGAATAGTGGTTAGTGTATTAGTGTAGATTCTGAAGACATCTGTCTGCATTCAAGTATTGGCTCTTCTTACTTTCTAGCTGCATGATTTGGGGCAATTTATTAATCTATTTTACCTCACTTTCATCATTTGTAAAATGAAGACAATAATGACATCAGCTTCCTATAGTTGTAAAGATTAATGATATAATGCAAGCAAAGCACTTAATACAGTACCTTGGCCAGGTGCCAGTGGCTCATACTTACAATCCTAGCTACTTGGGAGGCAAAGATCAGGAGGATCTCAGTTAGAGGCCAATCTGGGCAACAAAAGCAATAACCTATCTCAAAAATACCCAACACAAAAAAAAGAGCTTGAAGAGTGAATCAAGTGGTAGAGCATCTTCCTAGCAAGCATGAGTCCCTCAGTTCAAACTCCAGCACCAAAAAAAAAAAAAAAAGGAAATGATTTGAATGCTGGCAATTGTCAATAATACTATGAATCCCAACATGAGACAAGTTTCCTTCTTTCCATGCTGTAGCCACAGGGACTAACCCAGAGATGGGTTCTGAGAGGAGAAGCACAATCATTTTTGTAATCTATTATTTATTTATTTTTGATGCTGGAAATTGAAACCAAGGCTTGAACCTGCTGAGCACATGCTCTGCAACTTAACTACATGTTCAGTCACCATCTTTGGAATTTTTTTTTTTGTGGAATTGGGATTTGAACTCAGGGCCTCAACTTGCTAAGCAAGGGGCTCTATTGCTTGAGCCACATCCCCAGCCCTGATTTGGAATTTTTTTAAAAAAAGATATCTCAGCCAGGTGTGGTGGTGCACACCTATAATCCAAACACTTAGGAAGTTGAGAGGCAGGAGTATCTTGACTTTGAGTCCAGCCTAGCTTAGGCACATGCTAAGATTCTATCTAAAAACAAAAACAAAAAAGATTTAAAAACAAGGACAACTCATACGTTTTTAACAAAATTTAAACAAAGTTAAGTGAACTGTTCATGAAAGTATCATATTGTATAATCAGTCCTGAAGCTGACTTAACATTTCACCAGAAAAGGTTAGCTCCATCTTTTACTCACATTCATTTCAATTGCAAAGAATACAGAACATAAATTTTTCAATTAATACATGTTCATACCTCACCAGTTCCATAAGGCCATATAATCTGGTTCATTTTCAAAGAGTTTGAATACTGATCTTGCAAATTCTGTGTAATGAAGGCTCCCAGTCCTGATCCTGTGCCCCCAGCCATACTCATTATGATGAAAAAACCACTCAGAGAGTCACATTTCTCCACTTCCTTCCGGATTACATTCATTATAGATTCTTCATGCCTGGGTCCATGAACAGAGTAACTACGCAATGGCAAAAGAAACAAACATCTTTCAATTTAACCAGAGAAATGCGATGCAGAGGGAAAAGGTTTTGGGTAGGTCTTTTCAAAGCCATGGAAGTAGAGTAACTCTTATGAAAGGTCCAGGCACACTGACTTGACAAAATTTACACAAATTAAATATATTTAAAAGGTCAATAATACTGCTAGAAAAATAACTTTACAGGGTTCAGAAAGTTCTCTTTTATAGGCTGTTCCTCTAGCTAGAGCATTCAATTACCAAGTAGTTCTCTAAGGTTATGATAGGACATAATATTTGATATTCATAATTATAGTTCCAAAGCAATGGTTCTCAAATTCTGCTGCACATTAAAGTCACAGGGAAGCTTTTATAAACCCCAGGCCAGGCATGGTGGTCCATGCCTATAATCCCAGTACTCAATAGGAGACTAAAACAAGATAGCAAGTTTGAGGCCAGCCTGGGCAACATAGTGATATCCCATCTCAAAGAAAAAAGGAAAAACAAAACAAAACTAGGTTTCACCCCAAACCAGTTAAATCAGAATCTCAGCAAGTGAGCCCTAGGCATCAGGATGTTCCAAAGAACTCCAGGAGTTCTTTTATTAGTTTTTGCTTTTAGGTTGTTTTGAGGTAGGGATTTGCTATGTAGCCCAGGCTGGCTTTGAATTCGAGATTCTTCTGCCCCAGCCTCCCAAGTGCTGGGATTACAGAACTGCACTCCATGCCTGGCTATCCCTCAGGAAATTCTATTGTTCAGCAAAGTTTGGGAACTACTGCCTTATAGAATTCCCTAGGGCTGGATGCCTTCCAGTTAAGGATACTGTATTGATGTTAGTTTGTAGCAGGACAGTGAAGATGGAAAATCCAGCTGCAAGAGATCCTTGGTTTTATCATTACCTATACCTGAGACCCAGAGACATAAGAGTTTCTTCTAAATTTTAAAACAGCAATTTCATGGTTATGTGCTTGGTGAATCAACTATACAGTTATAACTACATTGCCTATGTAGTTGGGACTAAACTGAACTAAATTGAAAATCATGAGGAATTATTCTTACCCATATGCCCAGTTGTTTCCAGAACCTTGTTTTTGATAGAAGCTTGCATGCTGATCATATTTCCATCGGCGAGACTGGGCAGCCTTTGATAGTGTTTGATTGATAACTTTAGGTTCCATGTCAACAAGTACAGCCCGGGCAATTGGAACTAGAGAGGGAAAAAAAAATATCAAAATAAAAAAATTTCCTTTGTCATATGAGCATAAACTTCTAGGTCACTGAGCCCCATCCCCAGCCCTGTGTCCAGAAAAAAAACGACTCAGGCATTGGGGGAAGAGATTTTTCACACTAGTTAGAAACACTGTAGCAGCAAGTAACGCATGTGTTCAAAAAGCCCAGAATTCTGCTAAGCAGGATGAAACAGTGTAGAATAAAACTGCTATCGAGTGCTTACAATGTAATAGAGATGAAATTGATACTAAACCAGTCCTAGAAGGACTCGTGGGAGACACAAAGCACAACACTTAATCATAGTGCAACATATGACCCACAAGGAATCTACACCAAGAAACAGTATACTCAAAGGTATAAAATGCAATGGGCACATGTGCAGCTCATGATTCTTGGGGCACAGGATGGAGAAGGAGAATGCAGAAGTGTTGGATTGGGATGGAAAGCTGGCAGGGCTCAGATCTTAGAAATCCTTGTGGGCACTGCTAAAAAGCTTGAAATTTATCTTTTTAGGCAATGATAAGCCACTGAAAAATTTCAAGCAGGAGAGGAAAAGTCAGAATTTTTTTCTTCTTTTTTTTTTTTTTCCAGTATTGAGGCTTGAACCCAGCACCTCACACATGGTAGACAAGTGCTCTACTACTGAGCTACCTCCATAACTAAGTCAGTTTTGGTGGTACTGGGGTTGGAACTCAGGGCCTCCTACTTGCTAGACAGGTGCTCTACCACTTCAGCCATGCCCCAGCTCTTTTTGCTTTGATTATTTTTTTAGAAAGAATCTCATGTTTTTGTTCAGACTGGCCTAGACCTCAACCCTTCTAACACTTCCTGTGCAGCTGGGATGACTGATGGGCACCACCATGCCTGACCTTTTGTTGTTGCTGAGGTAGGGTTTTAAAAACTTTTTGCCCAGGATGACCTCTAACCTTGAGTCTCCTGATCTCTATCTCCCAAGCAGTAGGATTACACCACCATGCCTCACAGATTTTTCTTTTATCATTTTTCTTTATTTAATTTTTTGATATAGGGTCTTGCTATGTAGCTCCAGGCTGTCCTCAGACTTACTATGTAGCCCAGGCTGGTTTCCAACTTGAGATCTCCTGCTTCAGCCTCCCTTGTATTGGAATTATAGGCATGTAATACCACACCCAGCGAGACTGCAAGTTTTAAGCAAGATAATTAATGCCTTGGGCATGGAGATGTTGAATTTGAGGCTCACATGGGCGATACAGGTAGAGATGTCCACTAATCTGTCTACAGCTTGAAAAAGAGGCTGGGCTAGAGGCTTGAGAGTCACTGGTGTAAAATCTGCAGCAAATCAGTTGTCCAGAGAGAACTATACATCTGAGAGGACAGGAGGACCTGAGATACACTAGTGGATAAGAAAAGTTTGGAAACTAAGGAGAAGGAGTTTCAAGGAGGGAATTTTTTAGTTAAATCCATAGAGAAGTTAAGTGAAGAAAACAAAAAAATGATAATTAGTCACTTTTTTGGGGGGGTGGTACAGGTTTGAACTCAGGGCTTCATGGTTGCTAGGCAGGCACTCTACCACTTAAGCCACTGCACCAAAAGATGGTAATTAAGAGGGTGTTGGAAACTTTTCTTAGAGTAGCTTCAGTGATGTTCTGGGGAAGAAGCAGGATTATAGTAGGTTAAGCATGATTCTCCTCTGAGACTCTTGGTTGAAAGGGCAAAGACCCAAAAAGTGGAAGAGATGGCTATGGAAGCTGATGCCTGTAATCCTAGCTACTCAGGAGGCAGAGATGAGGAGGATCATGGTTCAAAGCCAGCCCAAGGTAGACCCTATCTTGAAAAAACCCAATACAAAACAGGGCTGGTGGAGTGGCTCAAGTGACAGAGCCCCTGCCTAGCAAAGCCTAGCATGCATGAGGCCTTCTATTCAAGCCCTAGTACCGCCAAAAAAAAAACAAGTTAGGTTTTTTTTTTTTTTTTGGTAGTACAGGAGGGTTGAACTCAAGAGACTCATGCTTGCTATGCAGGCTCTCTACCACTTGAGCACACCCCTAACCCTTTTTGCTTCAGTTACTTTTGAGATAGGGTCTTGCTTTATGCTGGCCAGCCTGGATCACGATCTTCCTATTTATGCTTCCCAGGTAGCTGGGATGACAGGCACATACCACCAAGCCAGCTTTGATTGGTTGAGATGGATTCTTGATAAATTTTTGCCTTGGCTTGCCTTGAACCATGATACTCCCAATCTCTGCCTCCTGAGTAGCTAGAATTACAGGTTTGAGCCACCATGCCTGGCCTCAAGAGATAAGTTTTATTTCTTACTTTTTTGCAGTGCTAGGGATCAAACCTAGGGCCTCATGCATGCTAGGCAAGTGCACTATCACTGAGCTACATCCTCAGCCCTTTAGATGGTTTAAGTTGGGGCATGCTCATGTGCTGGAGGGAAGAAGCCCCCAAGAGTCAAAACCTGTTAACATAGAAACAAAGGGCCAAAGACTGGGGATGTAGCTCAGTGGTAGAGAACTTGCCTAGCATGTGTGAGTTCCTGAGATTGATCCCCTCACACCACAAAAAAAAAAAAATAAAGAAACAAGGGGCAAAAGTCATTCCCTAAAGTGAGATGGGAAGGGATGGGATTCAGATGCCTGGGGAGGGCCAGGCTTTGAAGAGGCTCAGGTCAGAGTAAAAGACAGGACATACCTCCATTTCCCTCTTCCCTGAAGAATCTTTCCTGGCAAGATGCTTGATATGCTTCATTCTCTCTCCTAGAGCAGAGTCCCTGAGAGCAGTGTGAATCACGGAATAAAGCATCAAACACTTCAAAACCAATCTGGTTGCCACACTGACCAAGCTGCACCGTTACTACTGACATACTGAGCCACAAACTAGGCCTATTTCCTCAAAAAAGTGGGCAACCTGTAACAGAAAAAACACCAATTTAAGAAACACTACGTTAGTAATAAGAACAAATAATGTGTTATGCGTTAACTACAAATCAATAAAAAAAGTAATCTTAAAATGCCTCATATGTATTTGGTATTGAAGATGAAGTAGCTATGTTGTCTATGGAATCAAGTCATTCAAGGAAGTTCTTTCCTTACTTCATATAGTTTTGGGATTTGGGTCTTATGGTACCCAAATCCATTCAAACACAGCTCAGGAATTTCCAAAATCTTATTTGTACTCACTTTTTCCTAAGTATGCAGTTAAAAGAAAGCAAAACAAACAAAATACATGCTGGTTGAAGGAATCAGTGGTACACACTTCACACCATACGAACACCAGAAATTAGCTCAACAATTGAACATTCAACTAACATTTTTTTCCACCAACCACCTTTCTGGCCTGGTAACTATAATTAAGGTGAATAAGAAAAAAATTCCCGTTTAGTTCAAAACTAGAGCCTGGAGGAGGAAGACCAGGTGACATGTTACAGTAGCTCTTCATTATTTTTAACAACAAAAAGAGAGGTTTTTTTTTTGATAAAGACCTCACACTAGGTTCAGGCAGCTCGGGAAATGAGCAGACTCTGCACTCAGAATTTCCAACCTGGAAAGGAGATAATATTATCCTCACTTTACAGACAAGGAAACTGAGGAACTGAAAGGTCATGTGACTTTCCGAACGCCACTGAGATCGTAAATAGCAAAGGCAAGCCTCTTCCTCTCCCCGCCAGCCCTAGGCGCCCCCATTTAACCCTACTCACACCCAGCCCCGCGGTTTCCGTCGGGTTCAAACTTAAGAGGACCCGCCCCCTCACTAAACGCATGCTCAGTTTCAACACCGAAAAGCGACGGAGAACGAACGCGCATGTTCCTTAAACGTAAAGCTTTGCGGGATTTTTTTTTTTTTTTTCCTATTCAGAAAGGTTAATTACCCATGTTCGATTTCAATTCATCAACTTCAGACATGGGAACGCATACTCACTGTCCATCAAACGCTCTAGCTCGCAGTGCGCATGCTTCAGTCTCGAGAGCGGCTTCGACTGCTGTTCTGCGCGTGTCTCTGCCAGTACCTGGCCCCTGCAGATAGCGCTACGCATGTCCGCTGCCCACAGTTCGGCTTCACGGAACTCTGTGCGCATGCTCCAACGCTGAACTTGAGCCAGTTCAGGGCCTAGGCGCAGACGCACTAAGCCTAAGCAGCCGGTGATGGCGGCAGCGGCGGTGGTGGCTGCGGCGGGGCCGGGTCCATGAGGCGACGACGGAGGCGGGACGGCTTTTACCCAGCGCCTGACTTCCGAGACAGGGAAGCTGAAGACATGGCAGGAGTGTTTGACATAGACCTGGACCAGCCAGAGGACGCAGGCTCTGAGGATGAGCTGGAGGAGGGGGTGAGGCCCGGGGTCCCGGGGCGCAGGAAGGGGGGGGTGGCCCGAGGTGACAGAGCCAGGGCGGCGGCGTGGGCCCAGGAAGCCTGGTGTGTCCTAGAACGCGGAGCCCCTGGGGGACGCAAGGAGTGTCCTGGAGGAGCTGCGGCGCCGCGCGGTCGAGCCGGGGAGCGGGCGGGGCGAACCTGGCCCTAGGTGTGAGGCCTCTGCGGGGCTCGCAGGTGCAGGTTGCGCCCTTATCCTCAGATCAGCGCAGCCCGGAGCGATCTGCCTGGAGAGAAAGAGACGCGGCGCGTGGTGCATCTCGAAAGCTGTTGGTCTTGAATGTGGCGGGGCGCGGGCGGGGCTCGCCTGTGTCGGGGAGAAGGTGCGGGGTGGGGGTAGGGGCTAGGCTTTCTGGGTGTCCCGTAAGTGCAGGTGAAGTGTGGAAGGGTTTCCCTTAGAGTGTAAGGTTTCAAGGATTCAATCTTCAGACTTCCCACAACCACGTCTCTTCTTGGCCTGTCGCTTCTCTCCTAGGAAGCGCTCAGCTGTTAGAAGTGACAGCTGAAAACTTCTGTCGGGAGTAGCACTGCCGCTGCTGTTACAGCCACCAGGAGTTTTATTTCGGGAGCAAGGGGGCTCTGCTGCATCTTCCAGGGTTTGTTTGTTTGCCTTTTTTTTTTTTAAACCCCTTCTGTGTGGCTTATTAAAAAAAAAATTATAACGACACATGGCATTTGTAACTTAATTTCCCCGAAATTGAAGATACCTATATTTTTTCAGAATAATTTATGTAATTTTGTGGTGGGGGAAAAATGTTTGACAGCTGTGGTTTGGCTTGAACTGAGACTTGTGAATAGTGGCGTGAGGGCTTTCCTTGCTGTAATTTAAGGTGCTAAATTTAGAATTGGTTGCCCTAGTCTTGGTTTTTACCTTTGCTGTCTTAGTAGTTTGTTATTTTGTATGGAATATCTTTTTTTTTTTCCCTAAGGCTGGTCTGTTGAAAAATCACAAGTTGCACCTGAAGTTCATGAATGATGTCAAATTAAAGCACTAATTCTGAACAAATGATCATCAGTGATAACCTCATGGTGACTTAGGTCCTAAATTCCATTGTTCATAAGGTACATGAAGTTATGGTTGATGTCAGATGTTTTCCTTCTCTTTCCTCACCCCCAATTTTCCTTCTTTGGCAGGTAAATTGTGCCCTACTGCTGACAAAAGATTGAGATGCTATCTATAAAAAACTTTTAAGTGGGCTAAGATAGTACTTTTCATAATCAGATGAATCTCAGTCAAAATCAAACAGTTTAGAAAGCGGGTATTGAGATACATTTTCATTTGGAATTTCATATGACTGTCTCTTAATTGAATATAGTCAACACTGAATACAATTTGAAACAAATAACAGTGTTACTTTCATTATGTATACCATACTCTGGTCAGTTGCATTGGTACCATATGGCAGTGGTTTTGGTGTAGGACAAGGGAGAAAACTGGAAAGGAAGTTTTCCATTAGTTAATATATATTTCCATTAATTAAACTGATAGAATTTTCAAAGTACAAGTTTATCTTTGAAAGTACAACTCTGTACTTTTTTTCTTTTTTGGCAGTGGAATTTGAACTCAGAGCCTTATGCTTGCTATGCAGGCACTTTTTACTTGAGCCACTCCTCCAGCCGTTTTTTGTGATGGCTTTTTTGGAGATAGGGTCTCACAAACTATTTTCCCAGGCTGGCTTCGAACCGTGATCCTCCTGATCTCTGCCTCCTGAGTAGGATTACAGGAGTGAGCCACTGATGTCTGGCTTGTAATAATATTCTTGTTAAGAGCTGGGACCTCAGTTCCACACACACACACACACACACAACACTTTCTTGATGTGTTTCAGGAACAGTAGATATTCATTCTAGTTTTGGCCTACTCCTGGGCTTTTGTTTTGCTGGGTATAGCAAGTAGAATTCAGAGAGGGTGTGGAGGAGAGGGACCAGAACAAAAGTGGAAAAAAAGAGATGTTGCCACTACTTTAGGGAGAAGAACTTTGGAGAAAGAGCAGAGGTAATTAAAGAGGATTTTGAGAAAAAGCCTTCAGTAAAATATGTCTTACCTAGCAATGCTTTTGGAGTTGAAATATTTCTTTTGAGTGTGTTACTCTTAAAAGATGCCTTAAGGTGGACAAGGGAAAGAATTGGAGTGGGATTGGCTGAGCAACCCTATGAGGTTCAGTGACATCTAGAGCACTCTGAAACATGGGAGTTTAGATTCTTAGAAAATAATCTCATGTTTTCTGTTGTGAATTTATGTTTACTTTATTACATAAACTCAAAAACATTGGTACATATCAAAATACCTCGAGTCTTCATTTTATAATAAGAAAACTGAGGCATAGGCCAGAGAGATGATTGCCCGCAGTTGCAGTGGTAGTGTCTTCTGACTCAATTCAGCAGGTTTCAGTGCACAGATTTTTTTTTTTTTTCTTTTCAGTGCTGAGGATCCAGCCGAGAGTTTTGTGTATGGTAGGCAAGCCCTTTACCACTGACCTATAGCCCTAACCCTTTTTTTTCCCTTAGGTAGTCCATGCTGGCCTCGTGATCTTCCTGCCTCCCAGGTGCTGGGATTGCAGGGCACACTCCACTGTACCTGGCTTGCAAAGATTCTTCATGCATTTATTAATCTTGTTCATATTGTGCCTCTTTGTGGTGTGTCAAAAGTGAGCTTCCTGGGCACCGGTGGCTCACATCTGTAATCCTAGCTACTAAGGAGGTAGAGATCAGGAGGATGGTGATTCCAGGCCAGTCTGGGAAAATAGTTCATGAGACCCTATCTTGAAAATACCCAACACAAGAAAGGGCTGGAAGAATGACGCAAGTGGTAGAGCACGTGCCTTGCAAGTGCAAGGCCCTAAGTTCAAACCCCAGTACTGACAAAAGTGAACTCATCTATGTGACCTAGAATCAGTAACTTAATCTTTCTAACACATTTTTCTTTTCTGTAAAACGAGGGTTACAGAAATAAAGTATATAAAGTATTCTCAAAATATTCAGACATATTAAGCAGTTTGCTACTTCCTGGCAATAAAGCTTGTCAGTGTTACTCATTGCCAAGGAGCCAGTCATTCACATTTACCTCCATCTATGCCTAAAGTCTTAATAATGAATGTAATTATACTAGAGGTTCTGTAGTTTTAGAACTGTAGTATTATGAGTTTTCCGTTTATTGTATTTAATCAGTGATCTCACTTAGAGACATATATGCCTTTTTAGGTATTTTACACTGAGTGAATCTGTATTAGTAAGTATATGTATTTACATAGCTTAGTTAACTCTTCAGAATGTAAATGATGAGAAGACTAAGTTGATATAGAACTTTGTCTCTATAAAGTTGAATGTCTGCTACCTAACTCAAACAAACAAAAAAAATCCTACTTGAATACCTCAGAGGAATATAGTTATGTATATAAAATCAATGGGTGAGAGAGTTTGGATGGAGACGTTTGGTTTGTTTTTTGTTTTTGTTTTTGTTTTCTTTTTTTTGCTTTTTGTTGTTGTTTCATTTTATTGGTGATGGCAGGATTTGTGGCAGTGAATTGAAACTAAGGGAACATGTTCCTCTGGAGAATTTCATTAGATTGTGAAAATGTCAGATGCATGTCTACGTTCTGTGTCATTTATTCAAAACAAAACAAAACCGTAATGCATTTTTTTTTGTTTTGTTTTTTATCATAATGGAGTTTGAACTCAGGGTCTCCTGCTTGCTAGGCACACACACTACCACTTGAGCCATGCCCCAAGCCCTGTTTTATTTTGTTTGGTGCTGCTGGAGATCAAACTAGGACCTTGCACATATTCAGCAAGCTCTCTACCACTGAGATATACCCCAGTCCTGTAATGTAGTTTATAAAATCTTTACTTTCTTACTTTACTTTTTATTCTGCTAATTCAGAATTTGGATTAATCACAGAAACATACTATACAAGTTTCAGATATAAGATGGTTTTTATTGAGCAAAAAGTTTAATATTGAAAAACCAAGTGCTATATAGATATATACAAATATTCATGATTATGAAAAATTTTAGGAAAACTATAATTATCTAGCAGTCCATAGTTATCGTTGGCAGCAACTGTTTTTAAATAGCCTAAGATTTTGGATAAGGTTTATTCTTTTCATTCAACTGATCATAATTACTAAATCTTACAAGGAAATGTTTGTGAACAACCAGGCAAGTGGATAATTGATTTTCCCCCCCTTTTTGGGAAAGGGGCTTGAACTCAGGGCCTATACCTTGGACCATGCCACCAGCCCTTTTTTATGATGGGTTTTTTTCAAGATAGGGTCTCAAAAACTATTTGCCCAGGCTGGCTTCAAACCGAGATCCTCCTGATCTCTGCCTCCTGAGTAGCTAGGATTACAGGTGTGAGCCACCACCACACCGCTTTGATTGATTTTTTTTTTAAATCTTGTGTAGTTTTTTGTTTTTGTTTTTTTCAGTGCTAAGAGAATTGAACACAGGGCCTCAAGACCCAGGGTGTTGTTCATGGTAGGTAGCATGTGCTCTACCACTGAGCTTTATTCCTAGCCCTGGATTTTATATATTTGTTTGTTTGTTTGTTTGTTTGTTTTTTGAGACTGGGTCTCTCTATGTGGTCCAGACTGGCCTGGACTTCACTGTATAGCTCAGGCTGACCTTGGAACTCAACAGTCTTCCTTAGTGTCTTCAGTGCTGGGATTATAATTGTGTGCTGTTACTCCTCTCCCCCCATGTCTGTATTGAGGATGTTTTAATCCATTGTAGGTCATTTTATTTAAATCTTTGGAAAATGTGTTCTCTTTCATTGGGGTTTTAGACATATTAATTTGAATTTACATACATTTTTAATTTAAAACTTTGCAAATTGTCATTCTTTTTTTTTGGGTGGGGGGAGGTGACTGGGATTTCAATTCAGGGCCTTACCCTTGCTAGGCAGATAGCAAAAAGTTATTCTTGTGGACTAGTTTGAAACAGTGAATCTTATATAGTACTTTAGATGAGCAAGATTCTACTTTGTCAATCATAATATCACACATTAGATGAATCATAAAGCTTAAAGCAGGAGAAAAACAATTCTGAATAAAGAATTTTCTGTGAAAGAATTTTGTCAGTATGTGTTTTGTAACATTAGCTGGATGCTTTTCTAAATGTAAGGTAATAGCAAGTAGCAGAAAAGAATTGTACCTTTGAATGCTTCTGCTCTATAAGGTAACGGTGAGAAGTTATAGGCACAGATGCAGGTGGTATTACAGGCCTGGCCAGCTCCGGAAATGAAACATAGCCACCGGGCATATCTTGTGAGGTGGCTTCAAAGTCATGGTTCAGTGTTAACTACTCTGTGGTTTTTAATTTAGAATTTAAATAAAACTACCATTAAAGAAAAAACTTATGTTATGGCCAGTTTGATCTCATCTGAGAGGTTAGTGTTTTGTCTTTAAAGTGAAGCCATCATAGGTGATTAGATGGAGCCACAGTAAGCAAAGAAACTGATCAACATAACCATGCCCACCTTGCCCCAACAAAAGTGTATCCAGTTGAAACTGTGACAGATCTTCCCCTTGACTGTGCCCAGTGCATTTGCCTTACTCTAATTATGAAACATGAATCCTAGTATTGCACGTCATTCTGACTTCCACGAGCAAGTTATGACTAAATAGTTAAGGGGTTTTTGTTTTTAAGGTATTTGAACAGCTGTTCTGTAAGAATACTATCTTGTTTGCATTGTATGTCTTAGCTATGTACTGGTTGGTACCTTTAAGAAAGGTATGCTCACCTGATGTCTTGAATTTTTCTAAAATTTTAATGTTGATTGCTTGAAGAGTTCTAATTTATTTGAGCTTATTCTGAATTAAGTGATATCCTTTTGTATAAACTGAAAGACCTCATACTCAGACTATATTCAAGATTACTCGTTTTAAAGCTATGTTTCATACGAACTGAATTTCTGCTGCCAAGTTACTCATTTGTTTCTATAATTAGGTGACTTTGAGCATATTTACACAGTTGTACAACCATCACCACAGTTGAGTTTTTAGAACAATTTTCATCACCCTAAAAGAAATGTAGGACTCATTTAGTTACTCTTCTTTCTCACTCCTAGCCCTAGGTGACTACTAATCTACTTCTTCATCTCTATAGATTTGACTTTTCTAGACACTACATATAAATAGAATCATACAGTTTGTAACCTTTTGTGTCTAGTGACTACTTTCACTTAATATGTTTTGAGCATCTTCTAAATTGTAACATTAGTACTTCCTTTTTATGGTTAAATAGTATTCCGTTGTATTTTGTTTATGTGTTCATCAGTTGATGGTCATTTGAGTTGTTCATTTGGGTTGTAAATAAAGTTTTCATAAACATTTGTACTCAGGTTCTTCTGGAACATGTTTTCATTTCTTTTTAGTAGATACCTGGGAATAGATTTTCCTGAATCATATAGTTAGTCTACATTTGTTTAACAAGAGACTGCAGTTTGTTTTCCAAAGTAGTTGCACCATTTTACATTCATACCAGCAGTGTATGATGATCCCAGTTTCTCTACATCTTGGCCAAAGTTTTTTTGTTTTGGTTTGGTTTTTTGGTGGCACTGAGTTTGAATTCAGGGTCTCACACTTGCTAGTCAGGCACTCTACCACTTGAACCACTCTGCCAGCCCTTTTTTGTGTTGGGTTTTTTTTCACTTTAGGGTCTTGAAAACTCTTTGCCTAGAGCTGGCTTAAAACCGTGATCCTCTTGAGTAGCTAGGATTATAGGTATTAGCTACTGGGACCTGGCTCCAAAGTTATTTTTATTCTTTTTTTTTTTTTTAATCTCTGATTCTTCAAAGAAGCCAAATTTATTTTTCTGGTTTTTGTTCTGTTGTTTTAATTATAGCCATCTTAGTGAATGTGAAGTGGTATCTTTATGTGGCTTTAGTTTGCATTTTCATAATGAGTAATGATGTTGAACATCTTTTCATGTGCTTATTGTACATTTGGATATCCTTTTTGGAGAAATATCTATTCAGATCCTAACCCATTTTTAAAAATTGGGTTATTTTTCTTTTAGTTAGTGAGGTATAGTAGTTCTTTAAATATTCTTGTTCTGTGGATTTTCTTTTTCCCTTTTTTTTTTTTTTTTTTTTTTAATGCTAGGGATTGAACCCAGGAACTCACACATACTAGGCAAGGCTCTATCACTGAGCCACATCCATAACCCTTCCTTTAACTTATTTATTTATTTATTTATTTATTTTGGCAGTACTGAACTCAGGGCCTCATACTTGCTAGGCAGGTGCTTTACCACTTGATCCATTCCACCAGCCCCCATTTAAGGCTTTGATCTATTTTTTTAGGTTTTTTTTTCATTATTCTTTATGTTTTGTTTTCTTTTTGGAGACAGGGTCTTGCTATGTAACTAAGACTGGACTCCAACTTGCCATCCTCCTGCCTCCCTGCCTCCTCATGTGGCACCATGCCCAGACTGTCTTCGATACATTTTAAGTTAAATTTTTATGTATGATGTGAAGTCAGATTAGTTTTTTTGAGCATGGGTAGTCAATTGTCCCAGCCTCATTTATTGAGAGATTGTCTCTTTCCTACTAATCTCTCCTGGTATCTTTGTCACTGTCCATGACTGCAGTGTAAGGGCTTATCTCTGTGTTCTTAGTTCTAGTCACTGATCTGTATGTCTGCCCTTTGCTCCAGCATTACACTGTTTCAATTGTCATAGGTGTGGATTAAGTTTTGAAATCAATGTGTCAGTCCTCCAACATTGTTCTTTTTCTGTTGGCTATTTTGGATCCCTTGCATTTCCATACGAATTTTAGGATCAGCTTGTCAGTTTCTGCAAGTAAGGAGCCAGAGATTTTTATAGGATTCAGGTGAATCTGTAGATTAGTTTGGCTAGTACACCTTCTGATTTATATACATGAAATACTTTTCCATTTATTTAGCTATTTCTCTTTTTTTCTGATGGTCTTGTTATTTGAACTCAGGGCCTCATGCTTGCTGGCAGGTACTCTAGCATATGAGCCAAGCCCCCAGCCCTTTTCACTTTAGTTATTTTATTCAGATAGGATTTTACTTTTTTTTTTTTTTTTTTTGCCCAGAGCCATCTGGACCTCAACCTTCTATCTATGCTTTCTGCCAAGCTGGACTGATAGACGTGTACCATCATACCCAGCTGTTGGTTGAGATGGGGTCTTGCTAACCCTCCTCACCTTCTTCCATCCCTGGCTGGTCTCAAACTGCAGTCCTGATTACTGCCTCTGAGTATCTGGGATTACGGAAATGAGCCGCTGTGCCCAGCCTAGATCTTTCTTTAAATTTTTTTCAGCAGGTTTTACAGTTTTCAGTGTACAAAGTCTTGCACTTTTGTTCAATTTTTTTTCTAAGCTATTCCTATTGATGCTATTATGGATGATGCTATCTTAATTTAATATTAGAGTTGTTCATTGTTAATGCATAGAGGCTTATTTTTACTTTATTCTATGGTCAGAATAAGTGTTTGGTCAGCAAGGTGCCTAGCTATTTGATTGTGTTGCTTAATTATTTTGCTTTGATAAGCCACATTGTACACTACATATCTTGGATTAGTTTAGTTACCTCAGGCTTAGTTCTCAGCATTATGTATGAAACATATCAGAATAGCACACTTTGTATAAATCATTTGATTTAATAACTCACGCTTAAAATATAATGGCTTTAGTTTCATGATACACCAAATGTTTTTAATAGATACATGTAATTTTTAAAGCAAAAGTCACTTGGTTTTGTTTTTAGATCATGATTGAGATGCCTTGATAATTTGTTCTCATATAAAATTAAAAATGAAAAAAATTGAAAGTGAACCCCCCATAGTGTTATTTATGTACTTTATTTTATTCCCCCCATATTTTGACTGTTACTGAAGTATAAAAAAAACTTAAACTGATTTATTTCATTCTGTTATGAGATAAAACATTAAACTTCTTAGTTTTATATGATTATGAGATTATTTACTTCTAAAAATTTAACATATTTTTCAGGGTCAGTTAAATGAAAGCATGGACCATGGGGGAGTTGGACCATATGAACTGTAAGTTTATATGAAAAGATTTTCATTGTACTGTCTTTTTTTTTTTTTTTTTTTAAACTGTCTTTCTTTCAAGTAGTTCATACTAGTTCATAGCCAGCAGGCGATTCCAATAACTTGTTCCTAAATATCTTGTCATAGTTATAGACTTGATTTATTGAGTTTAGTACCGTCATCTGATATAACATACCTAGATTTTTGTTATTATAGACTTTGAAAAAAATGATAATTAAATTTAGAGTATACTGAATGAGTCTGAGTTGGTTAGGAATTTTCAGTTTAATACAGAAAACTTTTTCTAAATTTTTTTTTTTGTCACTGGTGTTTGAACTTAGGGCTTTGCACTTGCAACACAGGTACTCTACCACTTGAGCCACACCTTCAGCTCTTTTTGCTAGGGTTATTTTGGAAATAGCATCTTGCTTTTTGCCCACGCTGGTCTGAACTACAGTCCTCCTATTTTAGGCTTTTCTCCATAGCTGGATGTCAGGTGTGTGCCAGCCTATGCAGCTTTTTTTCCACTGAGATGGGATCTCTCTTACTTGTTTTTTGCTGACCTGAAGCCAAGATCCTTCTGATTTCAGCCTCCTGCATAGCTTGGGATGACAGGCATATGCCACCACGCCCAGCTATTAGTTGAGATGGGGTGTTGTGCACTTTTTGCCTGGGCTGCCCTCAAACTGAGATCTGTGATCCTCCCCATCTCAGCTCCTAATATTACAAGTGTGAGCCATAGGCAATGAGCTATTTCCAATCTTTTCTTACTGAAAAATTTTTAGAAATGCCCAGAAGTCAAATGCTTTTAGTTTTGCTTGAATATATCATTCAAACAGAGTCATGCAATCTTGTCGTGTTAAACAGATCTGTTGGTAAGTATGGTGATTAATCTGCTCTGTACCTCCCTCAGGTAAAAAGCCTTGTTATGGGAGGGGATTGAAAATTGCCACCTCTTGAGTCGTTAAATCAAGCTAATAACATGGAAAGCCAGACATGGGAAGACACATGGATAAACTAACGTTTATAAGAATTTTTGTAGCATTAAGATGAACTAATTGGTTAGTTTTGAAAGAGCCTAGATCTTCTGCTGAAGATGCCAAATGATGTTGGATAACACCTTAATCACATGAATATTTTGAGCAGTTTTCCTTATCAGCTTAATATACTTGTTCTAGTCTGCCCTAGATTGGGAGTGCTTGATGCTTATGCAAATAAATAATTATTACCACATTCTGTGGGAAACAGATAGACCATTACCAGCCCACCATAATGTTGAGCCGCCATGTCACTGAGTCAGCAGGTAACTTACAGAGAGAGGCTCTCGCACACACTGTACTTACTGCCATGTAATGTTTCCTCTCACTTAATTGAATTCCGTTTCTTTCTCCTTTCTAACAATGTGCTCAAGACAACTTATCTTTTTCTAAATTTACTTTTGGTTTTGCTTTTCTTCCCAGTGGCATGGAACATTGTGAGAAATTTGAAATCTCAGAAACCAGCGTGAACAGAGGGCCAGAAAAAATCAGACCAGAATGTTTTGAGCTACTTCGGGTACTTGGTAAAGGAGGCTATGGAAAGGTAAGAAGTATTTCTGAAATAGCTATTGTCTGTCTTGGGTAGATTGGATTTTATATCCTTGGTCCAGGAGTCACCTTCAGTTTTTGTTGAGCATCAGCAAAAGGTCTGACCATGACTTGGTTTGATTTGAGGAATGTGAGAAGTTCAGTTTTCCTTCATTTTCCTACCACCACACACGTGAAAAGCTTACACAAATACTCGGTCAGTATTTGTGAATACAGAAATGAGTAACTGCCAGGTGAAGTCTATTATTAGAGGAATGATTATTTTCTCTGGATAAATGGTATCTTGTGTAGGTATCCTCTTTAAGCACAAATAAACAAAACCACTCCTTGCTTTCAAGAGTTATGTGCATTAAATTTCCTGTTTCTGGGATCTTAATCTGAATTGATTTTCTTTGACTTGCAGTATCTTTAAAAAATAGTTAGGGAAGCTAAAAGAATATCAGAAGTAAGTTTCATAGTTTTACTCAGGCTTTCCAATTTAAAACCTCACCTTTATGTGTTCTACCCAAGAAAACATACCTAGCCATTCATTGCAAAAGACAGAATTTAGATAACAAATTGATTATAATTAAGAACTCTTTTTGCTAGGGCTGGGGATGTCACTCAATGTAGAGTGCTTGCCTAGCATGCAGAAAAAAAAAAGGTCAAGAATTATTTGTGCTATCAGATAGTGTTAATTTTTGCAAAGTGTGACATTTATAGGTTATTCTTAAGCTTAATAACATATGGTAATATGTTCTTCCCAAATATATAACACATTCACTTTGAATCTTACCCACTTTAGTTGTTGCATGAAAATGTTTAATAACTAGCCATTTTAATGGAATAGGTGGTAATTTCCTGTCAACTATTATTAAATAGATTTGTCTGAAGCAAGAGCACTGGAAGCACTGAAGTGATTTTGTGAAATATTTTAATAGTTTTTAGGTTTGTTACTATGCTTCTGGGAACCCTGACTACAGTTTCAGTAAACTAGGATTTTATGTATCAATTAGCACAGAATGTGCATCATTAGGCAGGTTATTTTCCAATATTGCCACCAGGTGGCAGCAGACCTAACAGGAAAGTCCCATGTTTAAGAGATTCTCTAGTAAATGTTAAAATGCAGTCTGTTCTAGCTGATGGTTTTTGTGCATGGTCCTTTGTGGTACTAGTTTTTACAGTACAAGTTGTATCATGTGTTTTCTATAAATAGGAGTTAAGGGAGTATGACCTACATGGTTTAGCTTTTAATAACACGCTTATTTCTTTATCTAGGTTTTTCAAGTACGAAAAGTAACAGGAGCAAATACTGGGAAAATATTTGCCATGAAGGTGCTTAAGAAGGTGATTCCTCTTTCCCTTTTCTCCAACCCCACCAGATTCTTAATTTATATAAAATTTTGTCATAAAGCTAAGTCAAAAAAAATGTGGTTGTAGTTCAGTTGTAGTGTGCATGCTTAGCATATGTGAAGCTCTGGGTTCAATCCCTAGTACCAACAGAAAAAAAAAGTATATCTAAAAACTATCCTCTGAGAACATAAAATATATTTTGTTACTTTAATTCCTGTTTTACTTCTTCCTGGTAAATGTAGAAAGGAGAGCACTTTTGGTTCTCTGAGGTAACTCTTTTAGCTATTTCTAGTCTTCATATTTTTAGGTAATAAACATATACTGCTATCTCTCATTTCAGCAGTTTTAGAATTATATGTTGATTTCCTATTATGCTGTTAAGGATTTTAATCTCTTTTACTCCCCCCTCCTTTTCTCTATTCTCTCATTTTTTCATTTTCATTGAATCCACTATTATCGTCCCATACCTTAGAACAGCTCTGTAAAACACCTTTTAGTCTTATGTTCTTTGGTCAGACCTATTAGATAATCTGTCAGTTCTGTTTCTTTTCCTAGAGGCCTCTCTTTAGAAACGTATTTGTATCCTGCTTCTATGTGAACTGGTAGCTCTCTAGGCATAGCTGTCATTACTGGACTCTTCCTTCACCATAGTCCTTGAAATTTTCTTGACTTCTTCAGTATTCCATGTTATCTTCTGGGTCTCCTATCTTTCTTTCCCTTAGTTTACTCCTTGTTCCCTTGTTTTGGTTTCTGCCTGCTAGTAATCCTGAGAAGTGCATAAAGGTAAATTTTGAAAAATATATTGCTTATTTGAGAATTTATTGTACCTTCATACTTGTTTGATATGTGTGTGTGTGTGTGCGCATTGCTGGAAATGGCCCTGTGTATGCAAGGCAGGCGTTCTACCACTAAGCTACTCCCAACCCCTAGATCCCTGGATGTAGTCTTTTTTTTTTTTTTTTTGGCAGTACTGGGGTTTAAACTTAGGACCTCATGCTTGCTTGGCAGGCACTCTGCCACTTGAGCCACTCTGCCAGCCTGCCCTGGATATAGGCTTAATGTTGAAATTCATTTTCACTTACAGTTTTGCTCCATTTTCTTTTATATTTGAGAGTTTCTCTTGAGAAGTCTGTTGCTAGTCTGCTTCCCAGTCCTTTATCCATAGCTTATTTTTCTCACAAGTATTTGAGATTTTCGTCTTATGTTCAATGTTCTATAATTTTATACTGATGTGTCTTGCTTTGACTCTTACATTTATTTTTATTCTTTTAATCTTAAAATTTTCAGTCCTTTGGTTCTAGGAAATTTTCTTGAATGGTTTCATTGATAATTTCCTTTCTACTGTTTTTTCTTCTTGGAATTGCAATTACTTAGATGTTTGACCTCCTGGGCTGATGGGCTGATTGTCTAATTTTTCCTATCTTTTCCATTTATCCATTTCCATTTTTTTTTGTAAAAATAATAGTAAAGTTTATTAGGGAAGGAATTTAATATAACAGGATAAAAGTGGGGAGAGATGAGGGAAAAAAGGGAAAAAAATTTCCTGTTCCTCATATAGTAAATGGGAATAGAGGCTCCTCTTTGTCTTTTTATTTACTTTTTTTCCTGATTTTTTTATAACCATTTCTTTAAAAAAAAAATTAACTGATACATAAAACATAAAAATTGTACATATTTGTGGATGCCATGTAATGTTTCAATGCATGTATACATTGCATAATGTTGAAATCAGGTTAAACAGTACCTCCTCAGGCACTTGTCATTCATTTCTTTATGGTAAAAACTCAAAATCCTTTCTTCTGTTTTTTTTTTTTTTTTTTTTTTTGAGATTGGGTCTCACCATATAGCCCAGGCTAATCTGGAACTCTTGGGTTCATGTGATCCTCTTGCCTCAGGCTCCCAAGTAGCTGGGAGTACAGGTGCATGGCACTATTCCTGGCTCTTCTAGTTTTTTAAAATGTGTAGTACATAAAATGTGTGCTACTGTGCAGTAGCACACCAGAACTTCATGCACCTATCTATAACTTAGTACCCATTTGATCAGACTTACCCGTTCCACCTTATTCTCTCCAGGCTCTGAGGGTTGTTTTTGACTTTTTTTTTTTTTTTTTTTTGGCAGTGCTAGGGATCAAACCCAGGGTCTTATGCATTTTAGGCAAATGCTCTACCACTGAGCTGCCCAGTCCCCTCTAAGGATTTTAATTATATATTTTTTTAAAGTTTTCTTTTGTTCCTTTCTTCTGAGTTTCTATTTTCTCTGGCTGGCTTTGTCTTTTTTGTCAGTATTAGAGGCCTCCTTCAATGCCTGCCATCCTTCACTAGTTCATATTTATCTCTTTTTATTATTTATTATTTTTTGGATTTTTGTTGTTACTGTTTTCTTTTTCCCTTCCCTCCCCTCCGCTTTTCTCCTTTCCTCCCCTCTTCTCCCCTTAAGCTTGCAATCCTCCTCCTCCGGAGTGCTGAGATTACAGCATGTGCCACCACATCTGACTGGGAACTCTGGAAGGCTGATTAGAAGTTCTATCTGTAGGCTTCTCTGTAGGTCAATCAAATGGTTAGCTGACAATTGACCAAGAGTCTTCAAATAATCATGTTTGTAGATCTTTTTTTTTTTCTGGGGTGGATCAGTTGGTGCTGAGAAAGAACCTCCATTCTTTTGCCTAGCAAAAGCATTCTGGAGCTAGGTTTAAAACAGAGGAGATGGCGATCTCACCTTTAAACTTAAGATTTCATCAAAGTCAGGGTTTTACATTAGCATCTCACCCAAGTATCTGACCCTTCTTCTTTTTTTTTTTTTTGAGAGAACATCTCTTTGAGGGATAGTTCTGTGGCTTAATATGGGGGTGTTTTTGGTTTATCTGTTCTTGATTTTTAGCCTTCTCCCCTTTGGCCTTCTCTACTGTCCAGTGCCTCTAATCTTTTCCTTTTTATTTTTGCCTCTTAATTTTTGAACCTTGCTAGGGTTCTATAGATAAAATCAACCTTTTTTTGTGTTTTTGTCCTTCACAGGCCCTTATGTTTGATCTGGCCCCACAATTCTAAGTCATAGACCATTGCTTTATATATTGCCACTCTCTTTTTTTTGTTTGTTTGTTTTTTTTTTTTTGTAGGGCTGGGGTTTGAACTCAGGGCTTCATGCTCACAAAGCAGATCCCCTACCTCTTGGGCCACACTTGCAGTCCATTTTGCTCTGATTATTTTGGAGATGAGGGCTGGTGAACTGTTTGCCTGGGCTGACCTTGAACTGCAATCCTCCTGATTTCAGCCTCCCCAATACCAGGATTATAGGTATGAGCCACCACACCTGGCAGTTTTTTGTTTAAGTTGCAGGGTTCCGTGCAGCTCTTAGTTTTTCTGAAGATGAATTATGTCCGGGTCTTTTTCTTTTGTTTGGGATTAATTTCAGAAAAGAGTTTGCTCTTTTTAAAGTCCTAATAGAGAACTACTTTAAAAAACTGTCAGTGGACTGAGGATATAGCCAAAGGTAGAGCACATGCTTAACATACTCAAAGCCCTGGGTTCAATCCCCAGCACCAAAAAAAAAGAAAAAGATAAATCAAATGACTTTTAAAAAAAATTGTACTATTTGTATTATTTTGGTCTTTATCTTCTGGATGACTCCTCAATTTAAAACCCAAGGTCCAATTACTGTGACCACAACTTTATTACTTATGGACTTAGAGAATCCATCTTGGTATTTTCAACATTAATTTCAGTAAGACGGAACAGATTGGAATTGTTTGAGTTGAATGGTTCTTTTTAAATTGTAAAACATGTTAGGTACAGAATTAAAGATAGTATAATCCTCCCAATCTCAGCCTCCCAAGCACCTAGGATTATAGGCGTGAGCCCCTGGTGAGGCCAGGGTTTCAATTCCTAAATCCCTAAATGAGGTGATAATAGGTTCCTTTTGAGTTTCTTCCTTCTGATTTTATTATCCTAGGGGAAAAGAGTACTTACCCTCCCTGACCTAAGTATGTCGTGAGAGTATACTTTTGTCAGCCTTAAAAGTGAAACCAGAGGAGAAGCAGGTGTCCTGCTGTCTTAAGTGAGTTGTTCACGTCTGGATGTTCTGTCTGGACTTACCGCATAGTTTACTTCTTAATGCAAATGGTTCCTTTTGGGTATTTAATTGAGATGGAATATTGAGGAAAAGACGATTGGCAACCAACCCCTAGTCTATCAGTTACAACAAGAATGTACTCTGGAAGCAAAATGCTCAGTCACCTACATTCTAAATTTTAGACCCTTTGGCCAAAGGTTTGTGGTTCACAAGGTTGGTCATACTTCTAATTCATCTTCCATTAAACCAGTTGACAACTTTCTTGTGGCAGGCATTATGTTAGATACTAGGATTTATAATTTGGGAGAAATTTAGTCTTTGCTTTTTACTTTACTTTCTGTATCATTAAAGGGAAGAATGAGTAAACTTTTTTTTTTGCAATACTGGAGCTTGAACTCAAGACCTACACCTTGAGCCACTCACTAGCCCTTTTTTTTGTGTGATGGGATAGGGTCTCTAGAACTGTTTGCCCGGGCTGGCTTCGAACTGCAATCCTCCTTATCTGTGCTTCCTGAGTAGCTAGGATTACAGGTGTGAGCCACTGGTGCCTGACTTAATAAACTTATTCTCAAAATTACTCATTAGCCCTTTGGCATTGAGTAATCTGACATTTTATTTACTTGCTAGCTCTGTTGACCTTATGTTCAGGGAAGTCCTCATCTGAATCAGCTCAAAATTGTCAATACTCCTCTAATAGTCCTATGTCTGAGCTACTGAACAGTGCTGCCAGAATCACACAAATCTGTAGAGTGCTATTGGAAAAAATTCATAGCGTCCAACTCCACTTTATGATCCCCAGCTCCTTTGGATCCTCAGTATTCCCCAACAACACTTCAACCTCTTCCTAAATACATCCTTCCATTCTCTACAACTGTCCAGAGACTTCACTGTTGATCCTCTGCTCCTTTTAGCCAACTGCTTCTTTTCC